GAGGATCCGTGCAAATTCCGAGTTTACGTGTGTGCGTGTTTTTTTTTTTTTTTGTAAGGGGAGCGGTCAGCAGTTCCTTCAAACAGTGGATGTCTCAACGCAATTTCGGCGTGTGGCAGATTCCCTCGTGCGCCATGGCGCTTAGCACGTGTGCATACACTACTAAAGCCTAGGAGACGCATTAAACGCGCTAAAAACGAGCAATTACACGCTGTCGCAGGCTATGCAGTGCGCGCTCCCACAGCAGATGCCCCCGAGATCTTCAGTACCATGCGACTACAGCAGCGCCGCTGCTGTCACCCGCCGGAGAATCAGCCGAGATGCTGCAGGGCCACCTCGTTCAATCCACTGCCCCCTTCTAGTACACTGTAGCCCGACTGGCACCCTGCGAGGACTATTGTTGGCCAACCCTCTCACTCTGCTTTCACGCTGCCTCAAGCTGGTTTCGGCTGTGTAGGCCAGGAATGGTTTTCTTTTTTATGAGAGGGACATGCTCGAAACCCACGTTTGACCTGATTAGAGAGTCTTAGTGTAAAGCAAGACACGCATTCTTTCATGCTTCCCCCGCATTCTTCTGATCACCATCGACACCAAGGTTGAACACAAAAGTAACCGCCGGGGACCAGCAATAATCCGTTGTAAGAGTGCAGGTGGCGTTTCAACCTGGTGGTACCCAGGTATGGCAGCCATGGTGTTCTTAGTGCAAACTTCGTTAGGGCCAACTAGACAGGAGAGTGGGAAGAGGGTACCCTAACCACTTATGGTGACAAATGTGTGTGGGCTACTTGCTATTTTCCTTTGCCGTTCATGTTATTCTCGGTATCGCGTTGCAGCACATAGACATTTCGTCCTTTTTTAAAACAAGAAAGTCAATTACACCGGTGTCTTCCAAGACTTCACTGACATATTTTTTCCGGCATTCAAACGACGTTAAAATGCAGACCATCAGATGGCAAATGTAAAAGTTGCATGAACGGTAGTCGAACACATGGCCACCGTCGCAGATAGCAAAATGTTAGGCCCGGCGTCACAGCACGCGATGTGCTGACGCAGACGGCGGGCTTGAAGTAAGTAAGTGAAAATGCTGGCGATCCGTAGGTGGGTGCGGGATACCATAGTGTATAGAAAAGCTTGGGACTATGAAACAATACATATCCATTATCTCTGCTCTTCATTTTTTGACCCACCACAGTGCCTTAGTGGTTATGGGGCTCGATTATGCACTCTCAAGTCACATCTCGATGCAGTCAAGATGTTAGAGGCCCGGAACTTCGATTTATTTGCACGCTTAAGACCAACAGGTTGTTCGCATTTCCAAGAGCCTCTCAATCGCCCCCCCCCCCGTCTTCCAATAAAATCAAATCATTCTGGAACATAAATATAATTCCGTGGAGGAGGGGGGGTTTGAGGCCCCAAACCCACGACGTCATTATGAGAGATGCCGCAATAGAGCTCTCCGGAAAGTTTGTCCATCTCGCGTTTTCAACGTGAACTGACGTCGCACAGTGCACGAGCCTCTACCATTTCGTCTCACCCCGACGCGGTGGTCTTGTGGCCAAGGCACTAGGCTGCTGACCCGCTGGTCGCGGGATCGAATCCCGGCGGCGGCGGCTGCATTTCCGATGGAGGCGGAAATGTTGTAGGCCCGTGTGCTTACCATTGGGTGCACGTTAAAGAATCCTAGTTGGTCTAAATTTCCGGAGCCTTCCACTACGGCTTCTTTCATAATCATGTGGTGGTTTTCGAACTTTAAACCCTACAAATCAATCAGCCATTTCGTCTCCATCGAACTGCGACCGCCGCGGCCGGGATCAAACCCACGACATTCAAGTCAGCAGCCCAGCCCCTGATCCACCGAGGTGGACTTCTTGGACGTAAAAGCCTCCCGGTTATTTCAGTCTGTTTTTTGTTTCATTTTTGTAATCTACTGATCAGGATTATTTTCTTAACCAGTAGATCACTTTTTTTTTTGTCTCAGTATGCATGCGAGTGTGTCCAGTTATTTTTCCTCCATGACTTGCGTTAGAATGTTTTCGTGTGTTTTCAACAAGTGCAGTATTGTCGCTACATGTTTTAGCTACGATACAGAAACACCTTAGGTGCATCTATTTATTACGTTTAAGAAGCCAACGCTTATTCATATAGTTAGGGAATCTTATGTGGGAAATGCGCTCGGGTTATGCAACTTGTCGTTAAAACAATTTTTGAGAAATTATTAGCCAATCAAAAAAAAAAAGGCGCCGTGATGACTCGGCAGGGATCATCGTCTTCCACCAACCACGAAGTACTTACCCGGGACACCTCCAAGTTCGGGACGTTGCTCCAAGCTCTAGCTGCTGTTCATGACATTGTATTGGTTTTCAGTCACCCAGCCTCCGTCGTTTCGGTGGTCCGGCTCCGTCCTCTGAAACATAGGGCGAGGAATTGTCGGAAACACTTTGGTTTTCCGAAGAGTCAGTGGATGCGGGAACTGTGCTCTCGTCGCCATCTTCCACGTCGTCGTCGCTCGAAGAGTCGTCATCATCGCTCGAAGAGTCTTCGCTTGACGAGTCTTCACTCGATTGGGGATAGAGGTACCAGGCCCAGCTCCTGACGAGATTCTCGAGCAAGACGCGACGGTGGAGGCTGATGTCATGGCGGAGCTTCTCTACAGCCTCTGAAAGAGCGTACGTTATGTTAGGAGGGCCGTCGTAGGGCCTATAGGTGGAGCGGTACTCACGAGGTGCGTCGTCCATGTACACAGCAGGCAGCACACGTCCGAGCGGGACCGAAGTCAGCAACCGACTGACGGGAGTTAGGGTTTGGGTAGAGGAGACCGCTTAGTGCGACGTCACTGCGTTCGACTCCTATTGGTTATGTTTTGAGCACGTGCTGGTTGGTTGGCCGAGCCATGTGAGAAAAAAAAGGGGGGGGGGGGTGCGAAAAAAAAGAGGTAGGCTTCTTTTCCAATACAAGGGACTGGTGGGAAAAGGGGGTACTATGGTTTGTAAATGAGAAAGGCATGTATTCCTTTTTTGAGGATGGAGGGTGAGTCAAGGTCAAGAAAAGTGGGTGAAGTGCCCGAGAAAGTTGTATTCGGAACTCGTAAACCAGCACGGTGGTTTTGGGAATAAAACTTTGCACCCCTTCCCCCGGCATTAAATCCGAACGTTTTAAGCATGTGATGCTGGGGAACACAAAGAAGGAGACCATGACACAGCGTTGTTGAAGGGGAGAGGGAAAGTCGATTACCAAAGACAGCAGGAAGTAGATAGAAATAGCTCATTCAGGCAATGAGTGGAACGAATATCTGCGACCCTTTTAGGCAAATGTCGTGGTTCCTTATCAGTCCCCTAAGAATAAGGATACTAGATTGAAAAGTCAGGAGTGTGTGCCGTAAGCACTGCGGGTTTCAAATATATGTTTGCTAGTTGCTATTTTCTTTGTCATTGCTTGTAATATTGAACGTATGGATAAGGAGCCTTCGGACGAGACCGCGGTTGCCACGTCCGGGTACCAGTTGGTTGAGACACCACGTCCGCATTCACTGGAGTGCGCATGAGCAAGAATTTGTGCCGTCAGAATAATGCCGGTGCCCCTCGTGTTTCTTTGTGTTCACCCTAGGCGCAGCTGGCGAACAGAAGAATGCGGTTGAGCACGGAGGAATGTGGGGACCGAAGAACTGCACGTGTTCTTTCCTGCTTCACTAATGAGATTAAATATAGTGCCATGTTTGGGTGAACGCGACATAGACCTTGTCCTAGAAATACTTCTAGGTAATGTTGCCCGGGCACCCCCCCCCCCCCCCCCCAACTCTTCGAAAAAAAAGTACGGGACACAGGCCTGTGATTTATTGGTCTCTGCATTCATGAAGAAGTGCTTAAGTCGTTGCGACACGGCATGTACAATTGTGCCCGTGACTTTTAACAGACGTTTTGTGAGTCAGAATCGTCGTCATTTCAATTTGAACCGCTCAGCCAGCATTTGAATTTCCCGCTCAAAAAAAATGGTGCTGCCACCTCGTAAATGTCACGCCAACTTCTTTACCAAAAGAAGAGAGCAAGATAATTGCCTCGACGTTCTACGGTGCGCCAAGTAGGTGGTCTTGGTTTTGTCTTTTTTCTCTAATGTAAACATGTGTTAAAGGAAAAATTGAGCTTGTACGTTAATATATAAGGGCTAAAGATCATATTATTGTGATGATGTTTTCTATTGTACAAATATTTATAAAGCGGTGGTCACCTTTACGATGTCGTGTCCATTTGCACAAAACGTGTCACCATTGCAGTCTGTTAGCGGCCGCCTTGTCAACCTTATGTTATTGCTGCGGATGTAGCTTATCTGCTTTTGTCGGTTGTTTTCTGTTTCTAGATATCCGCAATCATGCCCGAACAAGGCGAAGGGCTGTAAACTCGGCGGTTGATCAGCTTTTAGAAGCTATCATGAATGAAGACGTATCAGATGCTGAACTTTCGGACAATGAAGTCGCTGATGCACAATTTGCTGAAACGGTAAGCGGAATGTGGAGAAACGTTTTGCTAGCGGCTGCATAATTTCGTTTTTAATTGCAGGAAACTGCATCGGATGAGGAGCAGGGCCTTACATTGTATCCGGCAGAATCCGAGACTCGTCACAGTGACAGCGATGAGTCGCCATTGAAAAAAGTAAAGCAAGCGAAGTGGCTCGCAAAGGCTTTCGATCCAGTGGATATGCGCTGCACCTACCAGACGCTTGGTGGTTCCGCGCCAGTGGAACCGCTAAAGTATTTCGCGAAGTACTCCACCGAAGACGTGTTTGAGGACTTAACGAAGTACAAAAATATCTATGCCTTGCAGAAAACAGGAACAGAACTTTCGTGCTCTGTTCACTGAGAAATGAAGGTGTTCTTTGGGATTTTGATTTACATGGGTGTTCTAAAATTTCCACGTGCTGGCATGTATTGGCGAAGTGGTACTCGAATTTCTGCAATTTCAGATGCAACGGCGATAAACAGATTTTTTAAGCTGTGAAGCGCATGGCACATGACCGACCAGAATGAGCCAAGGGACACTTCTAGCGATGACAAGTTCTGGAAGGTGAGGCCGCTCCTTGATGTTATTAGGTGCCGGTGCCTTCAGCTTGAGGAGCTTGAGCTGAACTGCATTGATAAGCAGATGGTGGCATTTTCAGGGAGGGTCCCAGCCAAGCAGGTCGTGAAGAGCAAGCTGAAGCCTGTAGAGGTCAAGATTTTTGTGCGGTGCAGCACGGATGGCCTGGCACATGATTTTGAGCTGTATCAGGACAAAAGCACAGGCATCGACCGGGAATTTTTCTACCTTGGGCGAGGGGGATGTGTAGTAATGAGACTTGTGGAGTCATTTACGCTGCAACGCAACCTCAAACTGTCCTTTGACAATTATTTTACGCCTGTGTTGCTTCTGGGGGAGCTGAAACCAATTGGAATCCTTGCCACTGGTACAATTAGGTCCAACAGGCTGCTGGGTTGTCAGCTGAAGGGAGAAAAAGAAATTCGAAAGGACGAGCGTGGACGCATCGACATCAAGGTGACGGAAGCGCGAGATGTCGCTCTTGTGCGATGGAAGGACAACAATCTTGTGACGGTGGCCTCAACACAAGTTTGCACTGGGGAACCTAAAGCTGTTAGCAGGTGGAGCTCTTCAAAAAAGGAGCACATTGAAGTGGAGTGCCCACAGGCTATACTTGAGTACAACCGCCACATGAGGGGGGTTGACAAGCTTGATTTTATCATGCTGATTTACCTCATCCGAGCAAAACCAAAAAATGGCCGTTAGGCTCATTTCACAGCTCATCTCTTTTGCACTTCCCAACTCATGGCTCGAGTAATAAGAGATGCTTCTGCTGAAGGCCTGGTCAGGATAAACACAAAAGACATGCTTCAGTTTCAAACTGACATTTCAATGAGCCTTGTTGTCTCCAATAAAACTTTGAAGTGGAAGTGTGGCAGCTTGGGCTAGTTGGTATGGCATGACGATAACACAGAGACAAGAAGAACACAAAAGCGCGGGCCACCAATTGCGGAAAATCTGCAGGACGTCCCAAAAGCATGCCACAATAGTGGACCACTTCCTACCAACCCTGTTCGGCTAGATGGTTGAGAGCACTGGCCACAACACGTAGCGGCAAGATTCCCACAGCGTTGCCGGAAACCTGGTTGCAATTACAAATCTCGAGTTCGATGCAGGAAATTTGAAGTTTTCTTGTGCCTTTCTGCCACCAACGACTGTGTTTATGAATACCACATGAAGTAAGGAAGAAGGTTGATAAAAATGTCTCTCTTACCACCTTGGACCCCCGAACAAGTTTTGTATTGCAGTAGCTGTAATATTTCTATGCAATAATGCATCTGCTTGTCTTGTACAGGTTTGGTTGTATGGAGTCACACTGTGTGCATATGAGGACATGACCTAACTTTTTTAATACTTATGCGATCGAGTTGGTTATGGTTTTCAAGTGAAATTAGTGCTATCAGAAGCAAACACGAGCAGTTTCAAAATTGTCTGACATCTCCATCATAGTGCGTGTCGCACAGGCTATATATACAACCGGCATTTTATAACATGTTTAAGATAACCACTTTCGCGTAAAGTTCATGACTTGGAGGTACACACGTTCCTTTAGCTCGGCTCCTATGTACACTTCTTGTATAATAACTACTTGGAGCTTTCATAAATGAAGCAAATTAAGTGCAAAAGCACGTGGTTAACACAACATAAGCATTTCAGAAAGCATTATTTACTATTTTCCACAAAACTGGCATGTTAAAACTGATCGAGTCACCGATATCAATGCTGTGACAGCGTTACTTACACTCGGGTTTCTCATGAAACATTTGAGCGCACGTGGACTTATGTGATGAACAGTGCTCTGGGTATCGAGACTACCGACAAAACGAGCGTGTGATTTAATCGCGGTTTTGAGTTTTAATGCTTCTCCTTTCTTTGTAGTTCGCCAGTAGCCACTTATGATGTAGCGCAACTCCAAACATTGCTTTAGTGAGAATCCAGGAGAATCCGTGGAAATTCCGATTGCACATGTGTGCGTGTTTTTTTTTTTTGTACGGGGAGCGGTCGGCAGGGTCTTCAAACAGTGAATGTCTCAACGCAATTTTGGTGTGCCTACAGATTCCCTCGTGCGCCATGGCGCGTATCAGGTGTACATACACTACTAAAGCCTAGGAAACGCATTAAACGCGCTAAAAACGAGCAATTACACGCGGTCGCAGGATATGGAGCGCGCTCTCAGAGCCGACCGGCGCTCCTGAGACCTTCAGTGCCATGCGTCTACAGCGCCGCCGCTACTGTCACCCGCCGCAGAATCAGCCGAGAGGCGGTGCGGCCGCCTACGGTTCATTCCACTGCCCCCTTCTAGTACACTGTACCCCGACTTGCGCCCAGCGAGGACTATTGATTTGATGATTGATGTGGGGTTTAATGTCTCAAAACCACCATATGATTATGAGAGACGCCGCAGTGGACTGCTGCGGAAATTTTGACCACTTGGGGTTCTTCAACGTGCACCCAAATCTGAGTACACGGGCCTACAACATTTCCGCCTAACCAGTTTTAATCTGAGTAGATAGTCTTATTGTAGGGCAAGACACGCATTCTTTCGTGCTTCCCAGGCATTCTCCTTATCGCCATCCACGCGAAGGTTGAACACAAAAGAAAGCGCGGGGGGACCAGCAATAATCCGTTGTAAGTGTGCAGGTGGAATTTCAACCTGCTGTTACCCAGGAATGGCGACCATGGTGTTGTTAGTGCACAATGTGTTAAGCCTACTAGACAGGAGATTGGGAAGAGGATAACCGAACCGCTGATGGTTGTAAATGGGTGTGGGCTACTTGCTATTTTTTTTTGCCGTTCATTTTATTCTCGGTATCACATTGCAGCACATAGACATTTCATCTTTGTTTATAACATGAAAGTCAATTACACCGGTGTCTTCCAAGACTTCACTGACATATTTCCGGCATTCAAATGACGTAAAAATGCAGACCATCAGATGGCAAACGTACAAATTGCGTCCACGGTAGTCGAACACATGGCCACCGTCGCAGAGAGCAAAATGTTAGGCCCAGTGTCACAGCACGCGAGGTGCTGACGCAGACGGCGGGCTTGAAGTAAGTAAGAATGCTGGCGATCCGCAGGTTGTTCCTTTGTTCGGAGACCGTGTGCAGGATACCATATTGTATAGAAAAGCTTGGTATTATGAAGCAATACATATTCATTATCTCTGCTGTTCATTTTTTGACCCACCACTGTGCCTTAGTGGTTATGGGGCTCGACTATGGGCTCTCAGGTCACATCTCAATGCCGTCAAGATGTTAGAGGCCCGGAACTTCGATTTAGTTGCATGATTAAAACCAACAAGTTGTTTGAATTTCCGGAGAGGTTCTCATTCGCCCCCCCCCCCTCCGTCTTCCAAAAAAATCAAATCATTCTGGGACGTGAATATAGTTACGTCGGGAGGGGGGGGGGCGAGGTCCTAAAACCACGACATCATTATGAGAGATGCCGTAATAGTGCTCCCCGGAAAGTTTGACCATCTCGTGTTTTCAGCGTCCACTGACGTCGCACAGTGCACGAGCTTCTTCCATTTCGTCTCGCCCCGCCGCGGTGGTCTAGTGGCTAATGTACTCGGCTGCTGACCCGCAGGTCACGTGATCGAATCCCGGCAGTGGCGGCTGAATTTCCGATGGAGGCGGAATTGTTGTAGGCTTGTGTGCTTACATTTGGGTGCACGTTAAAGTACCCCAGGTGGTCTAACTTTCCGAAGCCCTCCACCACGGTGTCTTTCATAATCATTTGGCGGTTTTTGAACCTTAAACCTTACAAATAAATCAGCTATTTCGCTCCGTCAAAATTCGACCGCCGCGGCCGGCATCGAACCCACGACAGTCTAGTCAGCAGCCTTAGCCCCTGATCCACCGAGGTGAACTTCTTGGACGTAAAAGCCCCCTCGGTTATTTCAGTCTGTTTGTTGTTTAAATTTTGCAATCTACTGATCAAGATAATTTCTTAACCAGTAGATCACTTTTTTTTTGTCTCAGTAGGCATGCGTGTGTGTCCAGTTATTTTTCTTCCATGACTTGCGTTAGAATGTTTTCGTGTGTTTTCAACAAGTTCAGTATTGTCGCTAGATGTTTTAGCTACGATACAAAAACAGCTTAGGTGCATCCATTTATTACGTTTAAGGAACCTACCCTTATTCATATTGTTAGAAAAACTTAGGGAGAAATGCGCTCGAGTTGTGCAACTGGTCGTTGCAGCACTGTTTGATCAATTATTAGCCAATCAGAAAAAGGCGCCGCTATGACTCAGCAGGGGTCATCGTCTACCAACGACCACGAAGTATTTTCCCGGGACACCTCCAGGTTCGCGGCGTTGCACCAAGCTCTAGCTGCTATTCATGACATTGTATTGGTTTTCAGTCACCCAGCCTCCGTCGTTTCGGTGGTCCGGCTCCGTCATCTGAAACAAAGGGTGAGGGATTAGTGGGAACATTTTGGTTTTCCGAAGAGTCAGTGGATGCGGGAACGGCGCTCTCGTCGCCATCTTCCACGTCGTCGTCGCTTGAAGAGTCGTTATAATAGCTCAAAGAGTCTTCGCTGGACGAGTTTTCACTCGATGAGGGATTGAGGTACCAGGCCCAGCTCCTGACGAGATTTTGGAGCAGGACGTGACGGTGGAGGCTGATGTCATGGCGGAGCTTCTCTATAGCCTGTGAAAGAGCGTACGCTATGTTAGGAGGGCCGTCGTAGGGCCTATAGGTGGAGCGGTACTCACGAGGTGCGTCGTCCATGTACACAGCAGGCAGCACACGTCCAAGCGGGACCAAAGTCAGCAACCGACTGACGGGAGTTAGGGTTTGCGGAGAGGAGACCGGTTAGCGTGACGTCACTTTGTTCGACTCTGATCGGTTAAGTTTGGAGCACGTGCTGGTTGGTTGGCCGAGCCATTTGAGAAAAAAAGTGGGGGGGGGGGGGGGGGGGGCTGGTACGAAAAGAAAAGGTACAGCTCCTTTCCAACTCCAGGAAGGTACTGGTGGGAAAAGGGGGTACCATGGTTTGTAAATAAGAAAGGCATGTGTTCCTTTTTTGAGAGTGGAGCGTAAGTCAAGGTCATGAAAAAAGATGAATTGCCCGAGAAAGTTGTACTCGGAACTCGTAAACCAGCGCGGTGATTCCCGGAATTGAACCTTGCACCCCCCCCCCCCCCCAGCATTGAAATCGAACGTTTTAAGCACGTGATGCCGGGGTACACAAAGAAGGAGACCATGACACAGCGTTTTTGAGGGGGAGAAAGAAAGTCGATTACCAAAGACAGCAGTAAGTAGATAGAAATAGCTCATTCAGGCATTGATTGAAATGAATATCTGCGACCTTTGTAGGCACATATCGCGGTCCCTTATCAGTCCCTTAAGGACAGGGATACTAGGTTGAAAAGTTAGGGGTGTGTGCCATAACCACTGATGGTTTCAAATATATGTTTGCTAGTTGCTATTTTCTTTGTCATTGCTTATATTATTCTGCGTATGGATAATGCCCCTTCGGACGTCGCTGCGGTTGCCACGTCCGGGTACCAGTTGGTTGAGACACCACGTCCGCATTCACTGGAGCGCGCATGAGCAAGAATTTGTGCAGTCAGAATAATGCCGGTGACATTGGTGTTTCTTTGTGTTCACCCTAGGCGCAGCTGGCGAACAGAAGAATGCAGTTGAGCAAGGAGGAACGTGGGGACCGAAGAACTGCACGTGTCTTTTCCTGCGCTCA